GGATCTTCCTAAGTTTTTTATGTGGGTGTTTAACATAGAAACTTTCCTTTTAACACTGCATTAGCTGTATCCCAGAGATTCTGCTATGTTGTATCTTTGTTTTCATTAGTTTCAAAGAATTTCTGGATTCCTGCCTTAATTTCATTGTCTAATTAAAAGTCATTCAAGAATAGACTGTTTGATTTTCACATAACTGTATGGTTTGGGGAGATTTTCTTTGTATTGATTTCTCTGTTTATTGTGCTGTTGTCCAAGAGTATGGTTAGTATGATTTTGTTTTTTTGGAATTTTTTGAGAACTGCTTTATGGCAAAGTGTGTGGTAAATTTTAGAGTATGTGTCATGTGTGACGAGAAGAAAAAGTATTCTGTTTTTGTTGGGTGGATGTTCTGTCGGTGTCTGTGTGTCTCTTAGGTCCATTTGGTCAAGTATCAAGTTTAGATCACAAATATCTTTGTTAATTACCTGCGTCAATGATCTGTCTAATAATATCAGTGGAGAGTTGAAGTCTACCTCTGTTATTGTGTGGCTATGTAAGCCTCTTCATAGGTTTCTAAGAACTTGTTTTATGGATCTGAGTTCTCCACTGTTGAGTGCGTATGTATTTTGTACAGTTAAGTCTTCATGTTCAATTCATTTCTTTATCATTATGTAATGCCCTTCTTTGTCCTTTTTGTTTATTGTTGGTTTAAAGTTTGTTTTGTCTGAAATGAGAATAGCACCCCTTCCTGTTTTTTGTTATTGTTTGCTTGATTGATCTTTCTCCATTACTTCACTTTGAGCCTGCATGTGAGATGAGTCCTTGAAGACAGCAGACAATTAGTTGGTTTTTGCCTCATTATCCATATCATTTGGACATAGGCCCTGACAACGACTCATGCCAAAGACTCCAAAAGCAATTGTAATGAAAACAAAAATTGACAAGTGAGACCTAATTAAATGAAAGAGCTTCCGCACAGCAAAAGAAACTATCAACAGAATAAGCAGACAACCTACAGAATGGGAGAATATTTGCAAACTACGCATTCAACAAAGGCCCGATATCCAAAATCTATAAAGAACTGAAACAAATGAAGAAGAAAAAAGAAAAAACATTAAAAAATGGGCAAAGGGCATGAACAGACACTTTCATGTGACCAATAAGCATATGAAAAGATGCTGAATATCACTAATCATTAGAAAAATGCAAATTAAAACCACAATGAGATACCATCTTACACTAGTCAGAATGACTATTATCAAAAAGCCAGAAAATAACGGATGCTGGCAAGGTTGCAGAGAAAAAGGAATGCTTATACACTACTGGTGGGAATGTAAACTAGTTTAGCCACTGTGGGAAGCAGTTTGGAGATTTCTCAGAGAACCCAGAACTACCATTCAACCCAGCAATCCCATGAGTGAGTATATGCCCAAAAACATATATGTAAATTCCATCATAAAGACACATATATGCATATGTTCATCACAGCACTATTCACAATAGCAAAGACATAGAATCATCCTAGATGCCCATCAACAGTGGACTGGATAAAAATAATGTAGTACATACACATCATAGAATACTATGCTGCCATCAAAAGTAATGAAATCATGTTTTTTGCAGTACCATGTATGGAGCTGGAGGTCACTATCCTAAGTGAATTAACACAGAAACAGAAAACTGAATATCATATGTTTTCTCCTATAAGTAGGAGCTAAACATTGAGTACTTATAAAAACAAAGAAGAGAACAATAGACGCTATGGATTACTTGTGGGTGGAGAATGGGAGAAGAGTGGAGGGTAGGAGGAAGGTGAAGATCAAAAAATGATCTATTGGGTACTATGCTGATTACTTGGGGGACAAAATAATCTATACATCAAATACTCAAGATATGCAATTTCCCCATGTAACAAACCTGCACATGTACCCCCGAACCTAAAATAAATGTGGAGAAAATGAAAAAAATCTTAAAAAATAAAATGAAAATATACTTAAGCAACTTTGTACAAAATCAAGTGAAAGTGTTGTATACGTCTATTTCTGGACAATCTGTTCTGTATCATTGATTTATATGTCAATCCTCATATTAATACCACATTGTCTTTTTTACTTTAGCTTTATAGTAAGTCTTGAAATAAGTAGTATAAATTCTTTTTTCAACTTGTTTTGGTTAATCCAGATCCCTTGGATTTCAATGCAGATTTAAAATCAGCTTAGTATTTTCTTGAAAAAAATACTGCTAGAATTTGGTTGATATGGCATTGACTCTGTAAATCAATTTGGGTAGTACTGACATCTTAACAATATTGATTCTCCAGCCAGTGAACAGCATATACCTCCCCATTTCTTTAATTTTTTCTCATCAATGTTTTATGGCAACTGTTGGGTTAGAACATTTTACATTTTTGTAAATAACTATAGGCAGCTAATATAGATGTGTGTATTGAGACATTCATCACAGTGTTTAAAGCAAAAAAGTGAAACAAACCAAAGGTAAAACTAGACAGAGTTGTTTAAATTATCTTTGGCAGTATTCAGTGCTTTAAATGCCTGTATTTTTCCAAAAGAATATAACACAGAGGAAAGATATTAATTTCAGTGATATACTATTGCTCAAAATATTTTGGCAACTCAGAATTTGTAGAACACACTTTTAAATAGCCTCCATTGAAGATGCACTCCTTTGATGATGGGTTAGAATTGTGATAAAAACCAAATGTCATTCAGAGTCAAAATGACAAAGTAGAATGAAAGGTCAATCTAGGTAAGCTACTTGGGTCAAAAATAAATAATTTTTGTGCACAATTTATAAACTTGCTTTTACAGAAAATTTATTAAAGATTTTAATAGATTTGAACAGACCCTGCCACAGGTTGCCTAGAGTTAGAAATATCTCATAAATAAATTATTTCTTATGTGAAACAGCGTGGTGTATTAAAAAGAACATTAGATATTTTTAAAAAGTAAATCCAGATTTTATTTCCAACTCTGACAGCATCTACCCACGTAGACATGGGATAAGGCATTTAGCCCTTCTGAGAACCACTTGTACTGACAGTGAAACAGTTATCTTGACCCCACCCTGCAAATTCTCATTTAATTGATCTAAGGCAGATGAGTCTCAGAAATTTGAATTTTTATTGTCCTTGTGTTTTTGATGTTTTATGGCAGCAAGTCTATAGACAGGCATTGGGAATTGTTGGAATAAATAATCATTAGAATTCTAATTCTAAGTTCGTATGATTCTGTAAAAGCAATGGAAAGAAATGGAGATTCCACATCACTTCTAATCAGTTCCTAATGATCACAGTTGCCGCTGATTAGAGTAAAAGGAGGATTCATTTCAAATTAAGAAATAATTATTGAAATAATGAAAATAAGGGTCCATATCAAATAGTGCAAGCAGCAATGAACAAAAGAGTATTTCACTGTCCCCTGCTCTAAAATTCTTAAGAATATTGACAATTTTCCACACCTTCCTTTAGGGAAGAAGAAGAAAAAAACAGATGAACTTATTCGGAATTCTATGTACTTTGCCCTTTAAAACTAGATGGTGTTACTGAAAGTAATATGGATCCCAGCACATTACAATATATAAATATCAGAACCTGAATATAAATGTGCAGTGCATCTTTGGCCTTTGGGATATTAAAATGCTTGATGAGCCATGGACACACATTAAGTTTTAAAAAAAGAAGAGAAAGATGGTCCCCCTAAGTTATATTATGAACCTACAGGGAAAGAACAATGTCTTATTTGATGTCCTCTGTAGTACTTAGTGCATGCTGAAGTTCAATAGCCATTCAATTAAAAAACACTAATAATATGGGTGATTATAAGTTAAGCAATGATGAAACTACTAGTTCACTGATAGTTAATAGATATTTGATAGGGAAGTAGACATAATTTTCATACTACACAGTGTTTTATATATAAACATATTCATAAATCTTTTTTATCACTTATTTGTTTTATGATATGTAATGAACTCACTTATTTTGTAAAATGAGCTTTATCTGTATTTTATTTTATTTTCCTTGAATTTATATATTCAATTAATACATAAACTAGTTTGCTCATACATTTGACGAACATATTTTTAGCACCCACTCTGCATAAAACACTTCCCTGGCACATTAAAAAAAAAATAAAAAAATCTTAAAAATACCTAAACATCTACCCTTTTCTTACAAATTGTTCCCCTTCTTTTTTTTTTCTCTCTTTAATCATCCTAAATATTTTTACCAAGTGCATCGCGTACTCTTGGTCACACTGGTCATTTCTTCCCTAGGCCAAGAAACCTCTATGTCCCTAAGACACAATGCGTAACTTTCAGTATCATGACAATAACCATCATATTTCCTGGAAATAATGGCATTATTTTTTGTTAGATCTATCTGCTTTAATCTTCAAGACAGTCCCCATGGACATGTGTTCTTGCTCTTGTGTTGAACTTCTCATACATTAGCATTTTATCATAGACAGCTTGATTTTCCCATCTTCTTCATTTCTTTCATTCAAGGCTCACTTCTCTCAAGAAAACTTCAACTTAGAAAAGCAAGTTCAGTCACACCCATGCCAGTACCTTCTCTATTCTCACAGACTTAGTGTAACATGTAATCTTCAGTTACTGTAATGACATGGATATGAACTGGTTTATTATTACATTGAGAACCTACTTTGTATAGGACATTGTCAAAATCCGAGGACGCCAAGTGGTAAAATACAGTTTTTGACAAGATTGTAAATCTATTTGAGAGGATAAGTGGGTAACAACATTAAAGAACACATGCTAAGTCCAAATTAGTAGAATAGATAGAAATGTAGGGTAGAATTGAAATATACATGCTATAATCCAGATACACTGCACTATGTACACACACACACATACATACCTATTAATTCTTTTTAGCTGATTTTATCATGTTCTGGTGCTTCTTTTTGTTTGCTTGTTGACACACCATCTCACTCTGTTTCCCAGGCTGGAGTGCAGTAGTATGATCACAGCTCAAGCGGTCCTCTCGCCTCAGCCTCTCAAGTAGCTGGGACTATAGGTATGTGCCACCAAACCCAGATAATTATTATTATTGTTGTTATTATTTTGTAGATACGAAGTCTGACTATGTTGCCCAGGCTAGGCTTCTATTTTTAATCAGTAGAAAACTGTTTTTAAAAATTTCTTGTCAATTCAATTGTCTCTTTTGATTGAATGCTAGATAAAGGCAGGGGTGTGTTACAACGGAGATGTACAGGCCTTTCCTTCTCCTCCTTCGTTTCCCCAGGGATATCTATCTGTTCAAAGAAAGTTTTGCAATTCTGTGGTAGCAGGAGAGGGGTTCATGTATTTTTCATGTAACTTTCACTATTGGCTCTCTCTGATCTATAGCTGAGTTCTTAGATTCTGATTTAGAGGAGTTGGCTCAAGGTTAGAGCAATGTTGCCCTGAAGTGGGAAATGCCTAACCATTGTTTTGGAGAGTTGTCCCGTCTTTGCTGACCAGGCCCCTACCTTGGCTCTTGATGACAACCCTGACACCATCAATGTCTTCCTCTTGCCTCTTGCTTCAGGTGGTTCCTCTGAGACTTTTAGAAGTCCTTCCACCTCAGGGTGATGGCACCTTGGTTTTGTAGACACACTGACTCAACATAAGATATGTTTTGTATGTCTTCGGTGTCACAAAAGAAATTCTGGATAGCAATGACAGCTTGCATAGACCACGGAAGGCCAAGAGAGAGAGAAAGAGGAAGGTGAAAGGGGAGGCTCACTAGGAAGAATTGCAGGTAGTTAGTTTCAGTTATTGTGAAGTTGGAGCAAGTTACAAGACTTGAGTTTTGGAGAGACATCATAAACAGCTTTGTATTCCTTGCTAGCAAGTTTAGAATTTATCCTAAATACCACTATTTCCAACAAAAAATTATACCCATCCCCAGGGTCACAAGGGAAATTAAAGTTCAGGGGTCATAACTGTGGATTATTAGTGGTGAAATTAGAGACCAAAGGCTTAAGTGACAGGGAGAGGGAGATCTCTTGCTCTTGTAGAGCAAGACTAAGTCAGCATTATGCAGGTTTGTATCATTACTATCGGAAGTACAGTATTAAAAAAAAGTATTGAATGAATGAATATAATTAATGAAGTAACAAAATTCCATCAACATTCCTAAAGAGATGGTTTTAGCAGACTTTCCTTAGGAACTTGCATTCTAAATTCAGAGACACAGCGAACTTTTTGGGAATATGAATAAATTCAACTTGTACTAGAGTTATGCCATTTCTACTGTAAGAAACATCCCATCCTGTAATATTTCAGGTTCTTTGAATAAGAGCCTGAGTAGTTGCAGCACTAAGGACAGGAGGCTTTATTCTGCTTGCAGTTTCAGTCCGTTGGGAGACCCTTGGAATTGTTTGCTGTCAGCACACATAACCTGCTGAAGCCACTTCAGAATATAGCTGCCCTGCTCAATGATGGCAGCAGCCCCTTTCATCTTAGAGTATCATTTTAATTGTGTAGCAAGTGGAGCTTTGTAAAACGAGAGTGTGCAAAGAAGTCTCTACACTGCCCATTAAGTCGTGTTATCTTTAGCATCATCAGTTTGCATGCTGAGGAATTTCAGGTGGAAGCAACCTTCTGAGACACTTCAGTTATTTTAGTAACAAAATGCACAGGGCCATTAATTTCATTTGGATCTATTTTGAGACTTAATCATTACATTTAAAATATTTTTTAAATCTAGGGAAAATGTTGAATTTCAATATCATCATATACTCTCTAGGGTATCTGAGTCACGGTAATGAAGGTTTGAGATTATAAACCATTCCCAAAATATGCAGAACTCTCCTTTCAGCAACCAAGTGCCTCGTATTTTATAAACATCATTTCATTTCATTGTTGCAACAACCTACATAGTAGCTATTGTTAACTCCATTTTACAAGTCAGGAAGACAAGGAGACAGCCTCAGAAAGCATAAATTCCCTATTCAAAGACATTCTTTTAAAAATTTGGGAGGGTCTGTCTGACTCCAAAGTCTTTGGCCTACCTGCAACAGCCTCTAGGCAAACCCCCAGGGTCACTGATTTGGCAAGTCCACACTCCTGGAGAATCACAAAATGGCTAAATATTGCTTATTTATTATTATGAACACTGCTGTTTCTCTGCTCTGAATATCTATGCCCATTTTTCCATTCTGTTATGTAGCTGTGAATATTAAAATGCTTTGGGAATGAGGGGAAATGTACAGAGAACTAGTACTAGAATGGAGTTTTTGCTTTGTTTTTTTTTCTTGTGGCAGGAGAGCAAGAATTATTTTGGGGTGCAATATTGCATTTGAATACTTTTCTTAACAATTCAACATTGGTGCTCAGCTCAGACTGAAAAGTCTGACTCAAGTGGCAAGTGTTGAGATTTTTGTTGTGCCTGTCTTATTGGGACTTAAATGATGCATACAGACAAGTCGATTTTCTCCAAACTTTTAAAAGTTACTGCCTTTTTAAAATTTAAAACAACCCACTGATATGCAGAGGGTACAATTAATTAAACAAAATAGGACCAGATTTAAAGAGAGAGAAATGGGCAAACAAAACAAAAAACAAAACGTCACTCTTTTCAGAGTTGAATTGTCAACTTCACTAAATGGTCTCTGCTGTGCTGAACTCCCCACAAAAGGTATTTCGATATGTGGGGGCCAAGGACCCTCCAAATAAAATAACACTGAAGGGCCTTTTCTGTGCATGTGATCTGTCCTTTACTCTTAAAAAGTCTTCTGAGTGTGATTATCTTGGGATATTTTCTATCTTAGTTAGAGACCATATATTTGTTCAGGAATAAAAGAAAAACACTTAAGCTGAATGGATATTTACTGTAAAGAATCAGGGATGGGCTATAGAGCCTGAAATGGCTCTGACTAGGAGAGAAACAGAACATTCTTCATGAACCAAAGCTCTCCCTCCTCCTCTCTTTTGTTTGTTTTTCAGATGGGTCAAATAGAGTCATTGCAGGCCTGTCTTTAAGTCACCTGCCAGTTCAGAAGTTCGTTATACTCATTGGATTTCCCACAATCCATTTCTAAATGCCCAGGAGAAGGAATCTGATTGGCCCACCCTGGTTCAATCAGCTGTGGGTAGGTAGGCAGGGCCAGGAACCAGTCACTCAAAGAAGCAGCATGAGCATGTCAGCTTTGGGATGTCAGGAAACCTGCCAAAGGGCCTGAGGGCTCTTCCTCCTCTCAGCAGGCAGAGTACATCAAGTTAATTTCCTCAGGAGTGCATTCTGATTAGAATATGCTATAATTAATTTCTGATGCCTGGAGAGACTGGATTAACTATCATGTTTATCCAAATCTCTTACAACCATTACACAGCAAAAGGATTCCTTTTGGGTTAGTTCTTCAAAAGATACACAAAACTCTTCGATCCACTCACTGCCACCACACATATGCCATATCCCCATCCTCCTTCCTGTCTGCCACCTCCCCTGCATCAGAGATAACTATAAACACAAAGAATATGTTATTGGCCCGATAGCGAAGAAAGTAATACTACCTCCCACTAACTTTCTGCAAAACGATGTTGTTGACAATGAATATACTATGTACTGTTTGTTGAGTACTTTGAGTTTCTCAGACAGTCACTGTGTAAATACAAGGTATTATTACTATTATTACCATGTTTAACATTTGGTTAATAGTGGGAAAGTTCTTTTACAGTCTTGGCTGTAAACTATAGCTATAAATTTTTCCCATCTTCTTTAAGGCTGTTCCAGAGGCTTTGAACAATGATACTAAAGTAACAATTCAAGTACATCACTGTGCCTAATGAATAACAGTGCTCTTGATTAATGGTACTTGTTCAACATCACACTGACAGAAGTATGAAGTGTAAAAAAATGAAGTTTCTGCCTACTGTGATTTTTTTCTCCATTTTTTAAAAAAACAGACATCATCAGAGCTGAATTTTTTTAGAGCTGGATTTTTTTATTACCTATTCGTATATTCAACTACTGCTGTATTTTTTTATTTGACAAATACTGTGCTTTTGTCTCATGCTGGTGCTTGCTATCAGAGTGTTATCACTCAAGAGATCTGCTGTAGGATCTGCTAAGCATCTCTGCAATCAGCCAGCCCTCTACTAGCCTAGCACTAGACCTCTTCCAAGGTAGAAAAAAAGAGAGGGTCCGGGAGGGAGGGAGGGTGAACTTTGCTGAAAGCACACACTGGTCACAGCTGACAAGGAACAGCCAGGTGTGAGAATATCTATCACGAAGTCATTGGTGAATTGCAGGTGACTAGAGGCATACTTCACGGTGCTGTATCAGAGTTTATGTATTTTACTAACCTTATTTCATTGAGTTGAAGCTATACAGTTTTATGAGCCCCCCAATCCTCTACTAGTTGGAAATAAATTCCTCCTTGGCTATATATCAGCGAATGACACTGGCTGTTGGCCCATCTCTCTGGGCAAATTCACTGCCTGTATTTCTTCTTTTTCTTTCACCCTTGGGCTAGGGTGCAGGGTTGTTTCTGTATGACATGATATGCCAAGAAGGAAAAGCCTTGCAGTTTAAGGTGAGGGAGGCAGGGCAACCTGAGTACCAGCTTTAACCTCTTGTTACATCCCCATCTTGTAAATTGTTCTATGTGGTGGTGATTTGAATGTTTAGCACTGTTATCAGCTCTCTCTGCACTCCAGCTTTTCTCTCTCCTGGCAGGAACATCTGGGACACAGACTTTACAAACAGTAATAATAACCCTACTTTAGCTTTCACATTTTTGTAGTTGTTATTATGTCATCATGGTAAATGACCATAATTGACCCCCACAGTGAAATGTTGCCAACATTCACATGAATAGCAACTGCAATCTCAGAGGCTAGCAGGCATGTGCTTTGCAAATAAAAAAATTGCTGAATAGCTGAAATCTCAGGTTTGTTTGGGGACCTGAGTATTTCTGAATTATAATGGAAAACGATTTGTTTCTGAAACAGAGCAGTGCTGCATACAGGAACCGAAACAGGAGGTCAAGGGTAAGTATTAGATGGATATTTCCAGGATTTGCAAGAGCCCTTACATCTTCGGGGGCTGATTTAGATATGGAGTGATGAGTCATGAGACTCCAACTGAGCATAGAGTTATTGTAATTGTATTTCTCACCTGAAGGGCACACAAAATACACACACACGCATGCACGCATGTGCATGCATGCACGCACACAAAATTCCAGCGTCACTGCCATCCCAAAGTTAGCATATACCTTTCCTGACGTCCTCCAGAGCTGCCATGCAGTGAGGACATAAGAAAACAGTGAAAAAAGAATTGACAATGCCAAAACACATATCAATACTCTGACTATAACTGTACGTTTTAATATTGTGCTCAGGAGGCAATTTCAGCTAAATTAGTCTTGACAATTTTTGACAGATTTGGTTGAGAAACCAGGACCAATTCAAGATGGTTGTTTCAATAAATGAATGAATGAGTGAATAAATTAGCTACATCTATTTTCTCCTATTTCCTGAGGAATCTACTTCATCACAAAATGCCTATTTTTAATCATAACTTTTTTTTTTTCAAACTAGGCTTGTTACCCTAAAATAAAACAATCTAACACAGAAGGCAGGTACCTTGAAATTAGCTTTACATAGATTTATGTAATCTAAATACATCTTCTTGATTCAGCCATTATTATCCAGATCTAGTTAAAATCACTCACACAAGATTTTGAAACCTGCCTCTAAGTCTTCTCTTATCTCCCCTCATGTTTCTGAAACAAGCCTCTCTTCAGTTCTCTCCTGTGTTTAATGAGAGCACCTTTGAGAAGAATAACCAACAATCTCAGATCATTGTTGTTGGCATGGAAATTAAGGGAGATCAGAAATTTCTCATTATATAATGATTCTCAAAGTATAGGGAAATTGAGAAAGAATCTTGCCTAGACAGTCATTAGCATTATTGATAAACTATTTATAAAAGTAGGTTCCCTGTGGCATAAAGAGGCATGTCCCCAGGATGACCTAGGATAACCAATTCCACCATCCTGAAACTTCTCCTTATCTCCTATTCCTAAATTTCTCCTTATCTCCTTATCTCCTATCTTCTATTGACCAATGGCTCCATCTGGTCAATGGCTCCTTAAAGTGGGTCAAAGCCTCACAGTAGTCACCACTCCTCCCCTACCCTCCACCCAACCACATAATTACATTTGCTCCCTTAGTCCTATCTCTCTCGATACAATCAAAATTCCCTATTATAGTGTGGCAAACCTAGATATTACCAGAAAGCTCATTAGATATATATATATATATATATATTTTTTTTTACATGGGGCTGTGAGTAGCTGTAATTCTTCTCATAAATATTTTTTAATTTTTATAAAGGAATTTGTTAACCCAATTGAATCTCTTATTTGTTAAAAGAATGATCAGAGAGATATTTTGTTTAGGGAGGACTTGTCGACAGGACGTTCCCCTGATTCTACTCTAGCATGTTATAGTAAGCAACTTGATACTCTCTTTTTGAAGTTCTCTGACTTGGATTTGAATTTCAAAGCCCAAATTAAAGTGTCTTAATCTTCTTCTTAGTTTTATTCCAAGGCTAGCTAAAAACAAACAATAAAGGCAGAAGCAGAATAATGTAACTTTTTCTAAATTGCATTTATTGTTTTACTTTTTCTCTTCTTATTTTTACCAGAACAGAAAGGAGCTGGGAAAGGAGAGGCCAAAGAACAGACAACTACTGACTGTTGAGCAAGTAAGGCCTGGCGAGTCTCCAGCTGGACTGGTCTTCGTTGTGAGTCGTAGAGGTTCTCTTCATTGAATTTGCAAGTAGAGAGGAGTGTGTGAAGGTGCTTTTGTTTATATTGAATTTTTGAAGTTTGTGGGTTCTATTATTAACTCAGTTTTATATAGTTTTGATCAGGGAAGCCTTTAGACAGCATGGACCATTCCAGTATGAAGGAGTCTTCTTATTCTCATGTGACCACAAGACCATCTCATACACCTTCTCTGTGTCCCAGTCTGCTTCCTCAACCAGTGGATTTAATAAATAGCTAGGTGTCCGCATTATTCAAATACACAAAGAAAATTAAGTTTTTTATTTAATGTCTTAAAAAGATGTTTATTAACCCAAATGAGGTCTTATTTTTGAAATGTGTCATCATTTTCTATGAGTTAATCTTACTTCTTGAACATCCACCCTATTAGTTTCATACGTGAGAAATAGTATCTCTTACTGTCTTCCAGTTTAACATCATCTTCCATTTCAAAGTAGTGTGTCGGGGGTGCACGATGTCTTCCAAAGTTTTTCTCTCATCTCAAATTATCCAAAGGTAATGCTGGGGCATAGGAGGAGGTGGGCTATATTACTCTGTGAAGGTTAAAGAAAGGAGGAGAAAGTAATGGATTTGTAATCACAATTCCTAGTGTTGTACTGTGGATCTTGGAAAGATTTGGTTGAGAAGTGGCTGATCCAGGCTAGTCTTGTCTAGTTTCTAGTGCCCTTTGCAATATCTGTTGAGACCATGTTCCCATGGCTGATGTTCACGGTCCACTCAATTTGCTTCTGGTCTCAAATATTTGAAACTTCATGACATCTTTTTCTAAACTCCAGGCCTCTGCTGGTTCATTGACCGTCTCAGCCTCTCTGTCTCCCCTTACCAAGGCATATGGATACTTCTAGATTATCTATGTTATGAGCAGCCATGAGAAACCTAGAGTGCTACCTCATGTTTAAATAAACATGCCTTCCACCATGTTTATAATAGAAAATGGTTCAGGAATAAAACTTTGGTTTCTCCTAGAAGCTTGGATCTTCCCCTTTCGATAGTTCCAAGAAAATAGGCTGCTAGCACAGCTATTCTAAGATTTATTCATTTCTCTGTGGATGTTTCTATCTACCTGATCGATTTACCATATTAGTTCATTTTCATACTACTGATAAAGGCATACCCAAGAGTGGGCAATTTACAAAAGAAAGAGCTGTATTGAACTCACAGTTCCACATGCCTGGGGAGGCCTCAGAGTCACGGCAGAAGGTAAAAGGCACATCTCACATGGCAGCAGACAAGAGAAGTGAGCTTGTGCAGGGAAACTCCCATTTTTAAAACCATCAGATCTCGTGAGATTTATTCACTATCACAAGAACAGCATGGGAAAGACTGACCTTAATGATTCAGTTATCTACCACTGGGTCCCACTGACAACATGTAGGAATTCAAGTTGACATTTGGGTGGGGACACAGCCAAACCATACCATTCTACCCCAGTCCCTCCCAAATCTCATATCCTCACTATTGAAAACCATTCATGCCTTCCCAACAGTCCCCCAAAGTCTTAACTCATTTCAGCATTAACTCAAAAGTCCATAGTCCAAAGGCTTATCTGAGACAAGGCAAGTCCCTTCTCCCTATAAGCCTGTAAAATCAAAAGCAGGTTAGTTACTTCCTAGATACAATGGGGATACAGGCATTGGGTAAATACGGCCACTCCAAATGGGAGAAATTAGTCAACACAAAGGGGCTACAGGCTCCATGCAAGTCTGAAATCCAGCAGAGTAGTCAAACCTTAAAGTTCCAAAATGATCTCCTTTGATTCCATATCTCACATCCAGATCATGCTGATGCAAGAGGTGAGTTCCCATGGCCTTGGTCAACTCTGCTCCTGTGGCTTTGCAGAGGACAGCCCCCCTCTCGACTGTTTTCACAGGCTGGCATTGCATGTCTGTGGCTTTTCCAGGTGCAAGGTGCAAACTGTTGGTGAATCTACCATTCTGGGGTCTGGAGGATGGGGCCCCTCTTCTCATAGCTCCACTAGGCAGTTCCCCAGTAGGGACTCAGTGTGGGGGATCTGACTTCACATTGAGCCTTGCTTCTGCAGCAAACTTCTGCCTGGATATCCAGGCATTTCCATACATCCTCTGAAATCTAGGCAGAGGTTCCCAAATCCCAGTTCTTGACTTCTGTGCACTGGCAGGCTCAACACCGTGTGGAAGCTGCCAAGGTTTGAGGGTTACACCCTCTGAAGTCACAGCCTGAGGTCTATGTTGGCCCCTTCAGCCATGGCTGGAATGACTGGGACACAGGTCACCAAGTAAGTCCCTACACTGCACACAGCATGGGGACCCTGGGCCTGGCCCACAAAACCACCTTTTCCTTCTAGGTCTGTGGGCCTGTGATGGGAGGAGCTGCTGTAAAGACCTCTGACATGCCCTGACACATACCCCATTGTCTTGTGAATAAACACTGTGCTTCTAGTTACTTATGCAAATTTCTACAGCTGGCTTGAATTTCTCCTCAGAAAATAGAATTTTGTTTTCTATTGCATTCTCGGACTGCAGATTTTTTGAACTTTTATGCTCTGCTTCCCTTATAAAACTGAATGCCTTTAACAGCACCCAAGTCACCTCTTGAATGCTTTGCTGCTCAGATATTTCTCCCACCAGATACCCTAAATCATGTCTCTCAGGTTCAAAGTTCCACAAATCTCTAGGGCAGGGCAAAATGCTGCCAGTCTCTTTGCTAAAACATTAACGAGTCACTTTTCTCCAGTTCCCAACAAGTTTCTCATCTCCATCTGAGACCACCTCAGCCTGGATTTCATTGTCCATATTACTATCAAACATTTGGTCAAAGCCACTAAACAAGCCTCCAGGGAGTCCCAAACTTTCCCACATTTTCCTTTCTTCTTCTGAGCCCTCCAAACTGTTCCAACCCCTGCCTGTTACTCAGTTCCAGAGTCACTTCCACATTTTTGGTTATCTACAGAATTGCCCCACTCTCCTGGTACCAATTTACAGTATTAGTCAATTTTCACACTGCTGATAAAGATATACTAGAGATTTGGGCAATTTACATAAGAATGAGGTTTATTTGATGCACAGTTCCACGTGGCTGGGAGGCCTCACAATCATGGTGGAAGGTGAAAGGCGTTTCTCACATGGTGGCAGACAGGAGAAGAGAGCTTGATCAGGGAATCTCCCGTTTTTAAAACCATCAGATCTCATGAGACTCATTCACTATCACAAGCACAGCATGAAAAAGTCCTGCCTCCATGATTCAATTATCTCCCACCAGGTTCCTCCCACAAGATGAGATGTGAGTGGGGACACAGCCAAACCATATCACTCCCCATCTGCATTCAATGCTACTCCCCAAATATGACCTGGAATAGGAAGCCTGGATGTATGTATCTCATGGCACACTTAAACTTTTCTCTCTTACAGGTATTTTAGCTCCCCTTGAGTGAGAAGGGCTGGGTTTTTAACATATAGCATGATGAATCCATACTGATTCTGGTAGATGGTGTTGAATATTTTTTGAAGATAAAGAGATAGGATTTACTATTGGATTGCATTTGGGATGTGAGAAAAAATAAAGATAATTGCAAAGGTTCTAGGCTGAAAAGGGAAAGGACAGATGGGGAAGATGGGGAAGAACAGAAGTGAAAGGGGAAGGTCAGTTGTCTAGTCTTGGAAGATTACCTTAAATCTTCCAATGTCAGGATAAAACACAAATTGAGCCCTTGATTCAACTGCCCAGATACATTTTCAACTCTCCAGCAAATGGGATTTAATATGGTAATATTCATCATAATAATAACGTAGCTAACTATTACAGATTATTTATGAAGTTCCAGGCACTATTCTAGCCACTTATATAAGTTCCCAGCTAAAACATATAGAAGTGCCAGTGTTCCTAGGTTTCAGCTAATGGGATGTAAGTGGAGATGATGTGTATAAATTCTAGATCATTGCTGACTTGAAGACAAGTTGGCTTTCCTGGACTTTGGCTTTTATTTCCATGAATAAGACTGTTTCTGAGCCAATAATCCAAATCTCAACTTTGCAAATGATGATGGAGATGCATGATGAAGGGGACCCACCATCCTAAAAGGTTATAGAGAACATCTACACCACCATTCTAGACTAGCCTAGCACATTAGATATAACTAAACTTTTATTTGTTCAAAATAGTTTGGTCTCCTTTTAAATACAAACACAACATTTACTCTAATTAATAAATGCAATTTTCTGAGGTAAAAGGATAGTAACATTAGCCAGGCACAAGTAGAATTTTATATTTTTATAATTTTTATCATTATAAGAGAGTAAATTTCTATATTAAATCTGGGCAGTTGTTTGCCAGTCAGAACCTTGCTCTATCCCCCTGCCCTCACTCCCACCCAAGCTGTTAAGAAAGGCGATATTCAAGCCTAGTATATGATCAGTTGTACACATTATGTATGTAACACATTTAATTATTATCATTATTGGGCACTATTTCATTACTGAATTTCTAGAGCAAAGCCACTTTTCCCAATTTTCCCTCTAATTCTCAATCTCTTGCCCTGACTATGAAAAGAGAACCACAGTTTTTCTACTCAGCTCTTATAGCACTCACCAAAAGGATATGGAAATTTTTGCTTCATTAGACACTCACAGCTTTCTCTTTTTTCCTCCTGTTCTATGCAGCAAAGAACAACCTGTAATAAGTTGCTCCCACTTCACAACCAAAAATAAAATCTTCTTTTAAAATGAAATGCTTTAATTCCAACTGTGATAATGCCAAATTTGGCACAAACTATGATAAATTAACTCTTTCGACCTCAAAATCTCCCAAAAATATTAGATTAAAGAGGATGTTTAAAATTCAGGCAATTCTTCTGGGGGAAAACATTCATGTAGCAAAGAAGACCCTAACAATTAGGGATCTAGGTTCAACTTTTCCCATTTCTTCTGTTACCATCACACCCCAATACCTAATTGCTATACTACAACTGTAAGGAATTAGTCTATCCATGACTTTTACAGCTCTTATTGTAAGCATCATTCTTTCAGAATTTAGAATGT